AAACTTGTAAATCGCCCCTATTGTTGCACTGTAAACATAAGATTCAGTGCTTCTCTTTCCAAAAGCAAACAGAGCAAGGTGCATTGCAGAAGAATTTGCAAAATGTAAGACTATAACTTGAGCACATTAAGAGGGAGCTGAAGTGTACTGTTCGCTTTGACTGTGCAGCAAAGCCAGCTCTGGCGGGAGAGCTTGACCTTTAATGTAACAACCATTGTTAATATCCTATCACCATGTTTTGAAATTCTGTACCATTTTTATTGTTCTCTACACTGTTTTATGTATTTGCTTTTGTTATTTTACTTTTTTTCTTTTCTCTTTAAAATGAAAAACAAAATTTATATGTATATGCAAGGGGGGCTGGGGATTTAGCTCAGCTGCACAGCGCCTGCCTGGCAAGTGAGAGGTCGTGAATTCAATTCTTGGTACCGGAAAACGCCCCCGCCCCCCTAAAAATATGTGTATACAAGGATAGCTGGGATAGGTGTTTTGCTGATGTCTGTGGTTTATTGAAAGGAACAGTCAATGCTTCAAATTTTCTTTTTCCTTGACCAATTTTGCACACTTGGATCTGGTAATCAGAATGACTGATCTGAAAACAACAATATGCAGTATAAGAAACATTGGTGAACTCCTCCCATCTTGTATGGTGAAGCTCAGCATCATTTCCAATTTTTTTTTATTACTTGTTACTGTCTTTGATTGTTTGGTCAATCTTACATTCTTATGTCTGGTGGACTGAGCAACTTCAGTGGACATAACAGTGTATAATGTTTTGTTTTGAGGTCATGTACCATTTTTGTTGCTTTTATGTTGCTTTGATTTTGTCTTCATTGTTGTTTTGTTAGTTTTCTTAATCTTTAAAATAAAAAATAAAATAAAATATCATAATTAGCCACACTAAAGAAAACATGTGTATGTTCTGATCAACTCTTTCTTTACATTTACTTATTTATTTACTTATTAGATAAGGACCCAAGGGCCTGGCTATATTCCCAGCCCATTTCAATTTTTAGTTTGAGATGAGCTGGTCTAAGTTGTGCAGCTGGGCTAGAACTTGTGATCTTCCTGCTTCAGCCTCACAGATTGCTGGAATCATAGGTGTGTATTACCATGCTAGTTGAGTCAATTATTTCTTTAAAATGTGATAACAAATGACATGTCATATTTGTACACATAATGTAGATGTACTACACATAAAAGTATATCTATAATTATGTTATTTGCATCTGTTTCTATACCTATATTCATCTTTCAGTTTGGAAACTCTGATTTCTAGCAATTACCAAGTGTTCCAAATTTTTTTTTAAGTATCAAACTTTCTACCTTGGAATAACAAACTATTTTCATAAAATAAGTCTGAGTCAAAGAACTGTTTATGTCTAGTGCTCTGATAAGCTTTGCATATAAACTGTAAACAGAAGTTCCTAATGTTTCAATATTTATTCTGTCTCTGTGATATGGAAACTAAAGCTCAGAAATGTTATGTGATGTCCCAAGTCACAGGGCTGTTGGGTTATTACAACCCTTGTCTTTCCTCAAAACTCATACTTTCCTCTTGCAATGGTCAGTTCTTTGTATATACATTGAATCCTCCACACCTTCATCCTGTGCTGTCCTGTACCTCCTATTATTCTACTCAGTTTATTTCCTTAATATTGTCTTGATTTTCATTACATACATTACTTTCTAAAACCGGTCACTTTAACCTCAATGACATATGTGAAACGTTCTTAATTACCAGTTAGTAAACACACAGGACACCAAACAAGCAAACCTAAGGGTGTTTACTTAAATCAGAAATAAAGTTTGCGATTCCTCCCTCCAGAATTGTGTTTGCACGTCTAGACAGAGTGGAATATAAACGTGACTTAGGGATGCTTGAGACCTCAGGATTGTTCCTGAGATATTGCTTCACTCTTCATCCTAGGGAAGGCTGCCTAATGTCAGCACGCAAGTATCTTCTATACATGTTATTTCCAGCCTATAAAAATCACTCCTCAGTCTTTCACTTCTACTGTCTCTCCTTCATAGGGTCATTCTGAAAGTTATATAAATGTGGGCGGTAAGGTCATCTCTGGAACAGCTCCTCAAAATATTACATGGGGTTGTAACAGTGTGCCTCTAGCAGGTAGTGTTAAAACATTTAAAATGCATTGTTTTGACCTTTAAGAGTTTAAAACAATAAATAAAGTCAATTAAAATAAAAACATTTTCAGAAACTTTATATTTAATCAAATTCATTGTGTGTATGGGTATATAAGTAAAATTCTATTAAACCTTCCTTTAAAATTTTACTAGAATTTGTGTGCAGGAAAGTTGTATACCTCACTGATAAATTATGATTAGGTATTTTTATTGTCACTAGAAAATATATAGAAAAATATATGATTAACATTAAAAATCTTAATAGAATTGAAATTAAAATGCTTCACAAACAGCATTATAAAACACAAAGCTGAAGTTTTCTAATATCTCTTAAAATTAATCTTTTTTTTGTTTTGTTTTGTTTTGTTTTGTTTTGTTTCTGGCACCAGGAATCAAACTCACGACCTTGTGCTTGCGAGGCAGGTGTTGTGCCGCTGAACTAAATCCTCAGCCCCAGGTTCCCGGTACCGGAGAAAAACCAAAAACAAAACAAAACAAAAAAATAAATCCTCAGCCCCCTAAAATTAATCTTTAAAAGAAGAAAAAAATGGAAGTTCATAGAAATATTAGGGGTGATTAACAAATACAGTGAATGCTTAAGCTTTTTAATTGTTGCAGCAAAGGTGCGTGGTGATCAATCTCTCAAAATACTCTCCCTCACTCACACACACTGACCATCGTTGCCACTTCCTGGCATAGCTCGGAGTCCTCCCTCCTGGGCATCTCCAGCTGCAAGGCCAGGTCTGCCTCAGTCTTCAGTCTACTCCTAACTTTACCTTTCGGTCGTTTTGACTTTGAGTAGGACCGGAAAGACCACAGTGCCGAGCCCCGCGGATGAGGAGGCTGAGGACGCACTGCAGCATTTCTGGAGGGCCCCTGGAGGCAGCCACCATCACACTCAGGAGAGAGGCACCCAGAGCTGCTTCACAACATGGCCAGAATAGTGCGATAAGTGCGTTGGAAGAAAAGGAGAATAATCTCAGGAAGATTAATGGCAATGTTTATTTTTTTGCAATAAGATTTTTTTTTAGACTGAAACACTGTACATTTTGATCACATTTCACACAAAAGAGGAACAAAAAATTACCTTAGACCTTATTTAGGTCATTAAATCAGATCTCTTTCTCTACCTTAAAACTTCTTTTAAATATTTACCTATAATGATCCTTATTCTAAACGGACAAAATATAGATAACGATATAGTGATAGATGGGACCTGGGCAAAGTCCTCCTGCCTCATTAGACCCCTTCATATCTATTTGTACTTGCTGATTTAAGAAGGAATAAGAAGACTTCTCGGACAACATTGGCTTAATTAGGTTCAAAATCAGAGTACAGAGAAATGGGTCTGGCAAACTAATAGTTCCAAAATGTGAGACACTTTTGAAGCACATTAATCGAAGCATAACTAATCAAACTGAAGAACAGAGGGCACGGGGAAGATTCCAAGTGATCCAGCTCTGACCCAGGAGCCACAAGGCCCAGGAAGGGCCTGTTTGCCCACAGGGTGCACTGGATAAACCCACAGAAGGCCGAGGTTCACACAACGCAGCTATCACCACATCCAGTCCACCCTCTGCATCCCAGCCCTCTGTACCAAGTTCTTGTGCTGTAGAGTACCAGCAAGAACCAAGAACCAAGTGGAGCCGAGGTTGGGAGGCAGAATCGACTTTATCACACCGGCGCTCCCGACTGGGATCGTTCCCAAAGAAGTCAGGCTGCGAAGGCGTGGGGGAGGTTTCCTGGGGTAGCAAGGAGGAAGAACACAGGCAGAGTGCATGTCATCTGGGGATTGGTTCTTTTTTATCTGTTTGTTTGTTTTTCCAGTACCGGGAATTAAACTCACGACCTCGCCCTTGCCAGGCAGGCGCTGTGCTGCTGAGCTAAACCCCAGCCCCATGGGGATTGGTTCTTACAGTGTGCATCACAGTGACCAGCCCTTTGCAGGAAACCGCAGTAACAGGAACTGTAACAGGAGCTGAAGTAAACTGGAGGTTAGTTACCTGGGCAACAGAGACTGACAGAAACTGCAATATACTGGCTGGGGGCAGGTTCTGTCAGAGTAGGGCGCAGCAGGGTGAACACAGTTAACAAAAACGCACTTTACATCTCAGAATAGCTGAGAAAGTGGAGTTTGAATGCACCCATCCAAACAGTGATTGAAGCTTAGAGCAACTGACATGCTAAACACCCTACTTTGAGCGCTTACAACGCACTCAAGAAGCAAGATATAGAGCATACTCTACTTCCTATGTCGGTTCAAATATTGTGCATAAATGGTTTTGAACAGTTAAAGAAAGGGCGCATTTTTCTTATAACTTCAGGAGAAAAATCAAAGTGTACAGGATTTCTACCATTCAATTAAGGACAGCCCTGCAGCAGGTCACTAATTGTCTTGTGAACAGGAAGCTTGGTACCTGCTGTGGGTAAGGCCGCACTGCAGCTTCTAGCAACACAGCTGACCTAGGAAGAGAGATGCAGCCTTATTCCATCTACAGTGCGGAATATTTGAGAGCCTTGAATTACCAAAATATGACTGTAGAAAGGACTTTTCAAGGGATTAAAATTCTTCCATGGGCAGATGGGAAGCAGAACCTGAAACATATTATGTACACTTGGAAAGTAAATGAAATGATTCCAATGCAGTAGTGAAGATTTCACAAACTTAAATCTTTAAACTTACTTTTAGTTGTGCAGGATTCCCATCCTCCCTACACATGAAATTGGCGTTTCAATGCACTGTGCATTTCAGTTTTCTGCTACTTAGCGTTTTGAACAGCTAAAAGAGGCTATAGTAACCTAAAAAGCAATCAAGTTGAATACAGGTGTGAGTGTGTGTGCATAATACATACGCGTCTTTCTCGCAGAATCTTCCACAAACAGAGAAGAGATGTCTTCATCCACGCCCGCCTCATTCTTTGCGACGCACGTGTACGCGCCGGTGTCTTCGTACCGCACGTTGCTTATGTGGACCTCACTGCCGTTGGCTGGGAACACAGGAAAGGAACTGGTAAAGGACAATTTCGGCTTCGGGGCACTGCTTTCTGAAGACGCGGTCAAGCAGCTCTCTCAGAGCGTGCTAATGAAACTGCCGTCCTCCTCGTCCCTGCTCGGGAGCATGCCCGAGGACGCCAGAGGTACGCAAGTGCTCTGCACACTGGGCCTTCGTTCAGCTCTGCGGAGCCCCGCACCCTGTAACCCACGCACACTCTGTGTTCTCCGCCATTTCCTATTTCCCACACAGGAGGTATCACACATGGATAACTAGAAGTCATATGTTCACTTTATTCAGACTCCACTTTTTCCTACATTTTAATGGAAATTTAAATAATAGATATTGTTCATCTATGCTCAAGACACTACCATAAGTAATGAAGTGAGCTCCATCGTGTAAATATACCACTGTTGTCAGGCAAGGGTGTTACTGAGTTCATGCTCCATACCTCTAAGTAGGACAGAAAGAGGACAGAGAGATCAGAACACATAATTGTCTTTTGACCAGAAATGAAATTAAACTAACCTACATGGTGGTATGGAAATTGGTAGGGCTGCTGTAACGCCAGAGGGCTGCGGAGAGAGCAACTGCGACCTCCCATCTGGGTGAGATAATACTTTGCCTATGAAGCTCTGGGCCTTAAGAGGCCGCACGCTCAACTTCCCTTGCTGTCCTCTTCGCTGGACACGCCTGTGCAGGTTCTGGGCCTGTGCCTCATGCTCTGGATCGGAAGTATTCGTGGCTGGCCGAGCTCAGGGAGAGGAGAGCGCAGAGAACAAATGGGAGGAGGTCGGGCCTGCTTGTGGTCAGGGCCCTCAGGCCCGGGGGATGTGTGGGAGGCAGGGGATGTCCGGGCAGGAGAAAGCTTCTGAATGACCTGCGCCTCCTTCTTAGTTTACAAATGCTCACTGCACACCCACCTGCTCACCCTCTTATGCTGAGGCTCACTACCCCAAAATGGTGACTGCACGTCTCAGTCTCAGCTTTAGAACAGAACCCCAGAGAGGAGCGCGTTAGGCTTTGTGAGCTCACCCGTTATTTGGCAATGACTCACCTCCACCATCTCAGCGTTAAAGCAGCCGTACACACTGTTTCCAAAGAGTGTTGATGTGCTGGAAACACAACGTCCCTCCTTCCTTTCCTCTGGTCCTTCTTCCCTTACCCCTGCCCTCTCAGTCCCACGCCCGCACACCGGCTGCTGCTGCTGCCTGTGGGTTTGTCAATTCCTTTTCATTTCTAATACCATTAAAGACCGAGCACTGCTGAAACTCTTTTTTAAAATTCCACGAGCAAATGTTAGTGATCTTCTTTGACATTTTCTACACGTCAAACATTTTTTAACTCTTCTCCCCTCTTTAAACTTTTCTTCTTCTCTCTTGGTGTCCTGTCTGCCGATTTTCAGTTTCTTTGCACTATTATCTTCATTTGCTTGTTAGCAAACAATTTGCACTGCTTTGGGGATTTTATTTCCCTTCATTCGCGTTTATCCTGTACATGGCCATTGTTTTTTGAATTAGTTCCTAGAATAGGATCTCATACGCAAATGCTAAAGAAACATCTGAGCCATGCACGACTAGCCACATGACCATAAAATGTAAAGATCAAGAATATTCACACTCAGCACTGCCGACATGCAAAAATAAGTAACAGTTATGAAGAAATTTTATTTTAAAAGGCTTTATGGCTAAAAGTTTTCACTATTTAAGTAGAATAATATAGGAATCTATGCTCAGGGTAATAATGAAGAATATGTCAATTACTACCAATTTGAATTGAAGAAATGTAAAGACATAGAATAAAAAATATAATGCCCATCCATGTAACAAATAGCTTGATGAAATGACATGTGGTTCTATATCTAACAATGGAAATCAGATTTATGAATTTCTTTCATAATAGCATAATCAGCTTATAATATGTAATTGCTTTTGCACTATCTTCATTATTTAGCTTTACAAAAATTATTGTATTTTTTATCTTGTACATATTTATAATTGCTGTAATGTAGACAATGGATTAATCATATATCCATATCAGAATATTAAAATTTTAAGAATATTTATGTATAGAACCAAATTAATTGACATCTTAAAAATAAAGAAATGTGAAACATTTAATTACTTATTAATCTCTTCATTTACAAAATATACTAAAAATATTCATTAAAATCTCTACATTATTAAAGCCCTCCAAAATCCATATTTTAATTAAATATTTAAAAAGTAACTTCAAAAATGTCTTTCTACCCAATTATTCTGTTCAGCACATGTACTATAATTCACAAGTCCTATAAACATATCTAATTTAATATTTTACTTGCAAGCAAAATAATGACATAATTAATCACTATGACAGGACTATTATTTAGAGTATTAAAGTATTAAAAGACTATTTCAAATATATCTTAGATATAAACTTTTTTAGATGTATGACAGTCTTTTGCCACTGACTCATTTTCTCCTTTTTCCCAAATAATGTAAAATGAGTTATAAATTTAGCATAACAGTTCTTCATGATCATTTAACAGGGAAAAAATGCACAAAAGAGACACCTTGCAGGGTGAGCTGCTTGGACAGCTTCGACGTGATGTCCACGCCGTTCTTCAGCCAGCCAAGCTGTGGGTCCGGGATGCCCTCCGCGTGGCACCTGAGGCTCGCGGTCACCCCGGGTTCTCTAGCTTGGCTCTCAGGGTACACACGGATGACAGGAGGAACTGAAGGAGGACAGAAGGAAGATTAGAAACTGGTACTGACCAGAGACTTTTCCAAAACCAGCAAGAACTGCTGCAGAAGAAACGATGAACTATGCACGTTAACAATATTGTATACTTGAAGATCTCAGTTTCCAGGTATCATTATTCACGAAAATGTCCCAGTATAACATAAAGAAAAGTAATTCTGAAACTGTGCTAGGAAAAATGAAATGTAAGGTTGGATGGAATGTTTTGTTTCAAAAGTATTGAAAAGAACTGTAAGTGCTTATATTTTTTGATTACTTTGCATGCTTATATCTGGTAATCTGAGCAACTACTTTGAAGATGACAATATGCAATAATTTAATAACCATTGTTAATTTCTTACCATCTTGTTCTCAAATTCTGTATCATTTTTATTTTTTCTCTCTTTAAAATAAAAAATTAAAACTTCAGAACAATGGAGATATTTTAAAAAATCACACAGGTTTCCGTTGTTAAAAATGGAATAACTTGAGTGTCAGAATAATTAACAATTATGAGGAAGTATAAGTAGCTAAAACTTTATTAATCCAATCAAATAAATAAATCCAGAGAGGAAGGAAAGTCTTTCCAAACCATAACATGATTAGAAATTAAGGCATCCAAAATTAAAATATTTGGGAATATATTTTATCAGATAGGTGCAGATTAAACACGACAAAACATTTTTGAAAGGACTTTTTAAAAACAGTCTTGTGCTCATGAGTAGAAATAACTGACTGTGAGCTGGATAGAACCACTGGCTGACGGTGGTGCTTCTGCATGACTGACTGACAGACACACAGTCACCTTTGCAAACCCTCAAAGTGTGTTTCCTCCCTCAGTGGATGAGCTCACCCTCAGATCTACATGGAACCACAAGGAGCCCCAAATAGCCAAAACAATTTGGAAAAAGCTACAGCATACACAACTCTCGATTTGAAGACATACAGGAAAGTATAATATAAAATAATGTGTACAAATGTAAGGCCAAATATATAGAATATAGAGCTCACAGTGCAGAAATATGTATTTATGGTCGATGTATTTTTCATTAGAGATCCAACATATAGATTTTTTCAAGAAAATCTTAGAAAACTGCAAACCACAACAGGAAAATAAACTCAGATATGTACCTTCATCATATATTAATTCAAAACCAAATAAAGACCTAAAAGTAGGAGCTAAAGAGCTATAACTTAAAAACAAGGCAGCAAATCACTTTGACATTTGATTTGACAGTGATTTTTTATTACAACCCCCAGAGCACAATTAACAACAACAAAATAAATTTGTCTTCATTGAAATTAAAAATTATGATGCTTCAAACAGTGCTCAGGGAAAAATAGCTAGGCTTGGTAGCGCACACCTGTGATCCCAGCATTTGGGAGACTGAGGCAGGAGGATCACCCCAAGTTCAAGGACAGCCAAGGCTACACAGTGAGTTTAAAGCCAGCCTGAACTATACAGCAAGATCCTGCCTCAAAACAAAAATGAAAGAAAGTATATCATTCTACAGAATAAAAAATATTTAGAGATTATATCAAATAGGAGACTAGTATCCAGAATGGATAAAGAAATTGTTACAATTGAATAACAGAAAGAGTGCTCTGTTATATTATGGGCAAAAGACCTGAAGAAACACTTCTTCTAAGATGCAAATGGATAATAAGCACCTGAAAAGGTGTCAGAAAAGGTAGTAATGCAAATAAAACCACAATATGATACCATTTCATGTCTACTAATATGGCTATAATAAACAGAAATAATGGAAGAAACTGGAAATCTTCCACACTGTGGTGAGAATGTAACCACTCAGCCTCCATGAAGAAGACTGTGGTATGTCCTCAAACTGTTTACTTAGAACTACAATAAAATGTAGGATTTCACAGGTTAATTTGTTTACTTTTCTTTATATTTTGTATTTTCTGTATTATTTTGCATTTTAGTACAGTAACTTGTTCTGTGAGTGTTCCACAAGATGAGAAAACATCGCTAATAACCTTTAACTTGATGAGCTAGCAATGTGCTGCGGTACCAGTAGTACAGGACTCAGCATCACAGATCACCAGTGAGCCCTACTCCATCTGTCTGTCTGTCTCTCTCTCTCACTGTCTCTCTCTCTCTTACTATGGGACAGTGGCTGCAGGATTATGGGTGATTTTCTCACAACAGTGAGAGGTTATGGAGGAGATCTCTTCTGCAGAGGACAAGGAGAAAAATCCCTGCTTCAAGTGAGGTTAGGGAGATATGCAAACTGGAGCAGTGTGCGCTTATGTAGAAAGCAAGTAAGGCTGCGGCAGTGAGAGCAACGTGTCTGTTTAACAGCAATGCAAGTCACATTTCCATGAAATCCTCAAAAGGAGGCAAAACAAGTGTCACCAGACAGGTTCCTTGTTGAAGCTGCATGAAAAGAAAAAGATTCCACGAAGCCCAGAGGCAGCAGTGATTCCACAGTGATAGTGAAAGTACCTTCCTGTACACCAGCCGCAAAAGTTTTCAAAGTTCAGTGCAGTTTGTTTATTTCTCATCATATTTTGCAATTTCTTTATTATTTTGTATTTTATTACAGTATTATAATCATTTTCATGAATATTTTTGGGGTGTGTAATGAATCATCTGAGTTTCCATTCTTTCTTACGAGGAAATGTGCTTTGATTTACAAGTGCTTCGGCCAACACATGTATTTCTGGAGTGAACTCTGCTGGCAAACAAGGTTCTGCTGCCCCACGCCGAGCAGTTCCATGTCTGTGAGACAGGGTAAAATGCGTCTATGAATGCGCATGAGGCTGAAGAGTTGAAACGACATAAATGATTGTCCTGATGATGGAAACTCAAGTGTGGTTTTGGTACACAACATGATATTTCTAGCAACAAGAAGGAAAGATTTACAAAAGCCTAGCAGGAATACGGAAGACACAATGCTAAATGAAAGACCTGTACTCGGAAGAGAACATTTTCATAAAATGTCTGGGATGGGTAAGTCCACCAAAACAGAAGGATCACAGGACTGGGGGGAAAGAAGAAGTGGAGAAACGTGTCTAACGCATGTGAGGTTTTCGGTAGTGAGGAGAACGCTGTGACATCAGAAAGCAGCTGCATAACATTGGGCTGCACTGCAAACCTCTGAATTATACATCTTCAAATGGCTAAATAGCATGTAAATTTTATCTCAGATAGAAACACCAAGAGCCTGAGAAAAGACTGTAAATTAAAAGGGACTGAAGGTCCTGATAACTAAATGCAGTGTGTAAACCCAGATTGGGTCCTGATCTAAGAAAAATGAGCTAAAAACCAGATGGGAAACTTGGCACAGGCCCCATGTGGACTGGGAATTAAACAACGGGATTCTATTGTGTTACATCTCACAGCTTGATAATTATATTTTCATTAGGTAACACTCAAATTTTGTTTTTAAGATAATTTTCTTTAAACTCATTCACTAAGTTAGCTAGTGATTGAAAGCAAAAATCTTAAATTTATTCTCAATTGTACATCAGAATCATTGACACTAACAATGAGACGATGTAAACACAAGACAGCTTCATAACCGCAGTGGATGTGAGGCTGTCCATGTGCGCGGCGTGACGCAGCTCCACAACTGGAGACAGAGTCAGCAGCTAAGAGCCCGACGCAGATCGCCGGAGAACTTGCTGCCATCAGTACGGAAAGCGAGGCAGACAGATGCAGATCACTATGTTCTTAAACTAAACTTACTTGGCTAAGAAACCTAAGAATATATACTGAAAACCGGGCTAATATGAAAGCAGGAGTTTTAAAGGTTGTGGAAGTAAGCCAGATCTGCTTCAATCCCAAGGATATTTCCAGTAATTCCTTGTGTGACATCATAGATTGCAGTTAAAAATGAAAGCACTGTTGTGTTGTGCATTATGACGTGTGTGTGCAATTAATAAATGTAATTTTACACATAAATAAAGCTGAAAATTTTGAGAATTTTTTTTGTTTTGTGATTAGCCACTAATTGAATCATATTGCATTTTCTGAGTTTGGCCCTGCTCTTCTATTGAATCACATTGCTGGTTTATCTCTTCTGACTCCATGCAATCCCAAAACTAGACAAGTATGTCTGGCAGGTGAGCCGCCCTTCTTACTTCCCTCCCTTCCTTCCTTCCCTCTTTCCCTTCCCTTCGCTTCCCTTGCCTTGCCTTGCCTTGCCTTGCCTTGCCTTGCCTTGCCTTGCCTTGCCTTGCCTTGCCTTGCCTTGCCTTGCCTTGCCTTGCCTTCCCTTGCCTTCCCTTCCCTTCCCTTCCTCCTCCTCCCCTTCTTCTCCTTCTCCTTCTCCTTCTCCT